CAAACAAAATGCTAGATTCTATATACCGTCATGAAAATTAATCATAAACTCATACACAAAACAAGAGAAAACTCTAATCTCTGGAACCAACAAACTTTAAATTCATTGAAGACATTAAGGCTTTACCACGCCCAAACATCGTCAGCAAATGTTGATGAAAGGTACTCGTAATATTATTATATTATTCGTATATTTGTTTTCAGATGAACCGTTTGTAGTGAATGACGCACTGAATCAGCGCACTGCTGCGAATCAAGGCGACGCGGCTGAACTACGATGTGAAATAAACAGCAACCCTCATTCTGTTATAAAATGGTATGGTCCAGGCGGTGACGTCATTAAGAAAGGCAATAACATAGCAATAATTATTACTAGGAACTTTACTTGGCAATTGAATAAATTAATAATTAATAAGAAAACTGGAAAAGATAACGGACGCTATATATGTAATGCCGACAATGGCATTGGGTCAATTGATTTCACAGTGGTACTAAGTGGGAAAAGTAAGTTTACATGTTATGGTTCATACAATCGAATTATAATATATTCATAACAGATGTACAGTATTTTTAGTAACATTTAATAATAAAATTGAATTATTTTTTTCATTACCACTTCAGGTTTTCCCGACCCTGCTACAGATATCATTGTTTCTTCGACTCATAATACATTGCACGTGGTATGGAATTCTGGATTTAACGGAGGTTATCCACAATCGTTTTTTATTGAATACGGTGAATTGCCAGACGGGGATCAACAATTCACAGAAGATACACAGGACAACGAATTGACAGTCACGAAATTACAACCACTGACGGGTTATTACATCATCGTGGTCAGCACGAATGCATTAGGGGAAGCTCGAAGTGAAAGATTATGGACACGTACAATAGGTACAATTCAGTTTTCATCGCTGTCATTGTTGTTCATTTTCAGCTTGTTTGGAAAACGTGTCACAATGTCGCACATTAGTAGATATTGTTACAGACAGTCTCTGTGCACTTAAACAGAATACTCCAAGTTTCACTAAACTCGCCTGATATCTTGTAGCACTAATTTACATAATTGTTTAATTTGCTTAATGATTTAACTGTACATTATTGAATAATGTGCAAACAAGACCAGCGAGCTCTCATTCACATCCTATTTTAAACCATTACAACATGATTACAATATGATCACATTTAAATACCATTAAACCTAATTATGCAAATTATGGTGCAATAATGCGCACCCCTGTTCTAAATTAAGTATGTGTTTGTCTTACCTGAATATACAAATTCGTATATTCAAATGAGCTCTAAATAATGAACGTTTACTCTGTTTTAGAAGAGCCAATCAGCTCTCCGATAATAATCTATCTGTTGTCGTCAGCTCTCCCGATTTTAGTTTTAATTGCTGGTTCATTAATGGTAGTGTATCTTAGAATGAGATGCATTAAACCAAGGGAAAGACAAGGTGCGTTAATAAAAGTAAATACAAAATGTTTCAATAAAAATATATTTATCAATCAATCAATTAATCAATATATTTATTTATTTATTTATTTATTTATTTATTTATTTATTTATTTATTTATTTATTTATTTATTTATTTATTTATTTATTTATTTATTTATTTATTTATTTATTTATTTATTTATTTATTTATTTATTTATTTATTAGATCGTATAGAAATGGTTGAGAGTCCTTATGACGTAATAACTGACCAGCAGAATAAAGGTATTACATGAAATCCAACGTTATATTCTGCTAGTTTGATGTTTGATTGACTACCGCCAGTGTGTGTATCAATCCGCCGTAGACATAGCATCAAACAATTTATATATATATATATATATATATATATATATATATATATATATATATATATATATCACATGCATTCGGTCTTGGAGTTAGCATATCGTTATTAAGCAGTCATGGAAGGATGGACAATAGAAAATCAAAACAAATATGACATACAACTTGCGGAATGATTATGAACACTGTATAAAATGCACAAGTATTTCATAAAATCATTCCAACAAGTTGACGATGAAAGGCCGATAACAACTGCTGTCACGTTACGTTCGTATGACCCGATCGTTCTAATGATCGTACCAGTATGTGTTGTATATTTCAACTTGTTCCATTTCAATAGACAACAGCAATTAGGTAACAATGAACAACGAGGTATAACTTGAATTTAAAATAATATTTTTGTCACGAACAAATCAAGTTTGTCAGAAATTATTCATTGATTTTAGGATTGTTTCACGGCATAGTGATTTGCACTTTGAACTTTTGTACTGCCGGACAGCTGCATTATCTTTATAGATAGGCGTTGGGAAATGTGTTCCTGCCATGAGGACTTTGAATGTCGTCTTCCGAGCAGAATGGCTAGCTGTGGCGGATCCAGAGGGGGGTCCAGGAGGCCATGCCCCCCCCCAAACGCATGACGATTCATATAATCTGGATTACGCATAGCTTCTTTGCGATTTACGCTCCGTATATCTTAAGCGAAGCTTGGACCCCCCCCCCCCCCAATACATTTTGCTGGGTCCGCCACTGATGGCTAGTATTCTTTCTAGCCCTCGGTATATGATTCATGGTGATAATGAATATTCAAATTAGGACACTCAATACTTATTTTTTCTTATGGGTAATGGTTCGTAAATTATTTGTGAGGACGAACTGGGCATTTGTCCAGTTAAACAACAACATAATAGTAAGTTGTTATTACGTCAGCATCATAGTCAGTGTCAGATGTCAATGGCTGACATCTGCCAATGTGTCACGTAGACTACATTGTACTT